GAGGGGGAAGAAGAAGAGGGGGCTAGGGGCCTGGAGACAGTCAGACAAGAGGTATGTGGGGTCCAGCCGCCTGCTGATAAGAGACCCACAATGCCACGCCAAAGGGATATTTTATCAAGATGTAATTTTTCCCGCTGCAGACACTATTTTCTTTCTCGTGCAGACTATGCTGGCCTTTGCGATAAGGCGCCTAGACATGCTCACACCAAGGCAGCCAAAACATGAGGCAGGAGGAAAAAAATTCCCTTCTTAATCTGCCCCCCCAGCCTACTCCCCCCCCCCCCCCGTCTCCTCTCATTCTCTCCAAGTTCTCATGCCCCCCCCAACCCCCTCTACCGCCAACCCACCCGGCTGGCTGGCCTCTTCCTGCCTTCCAGTAAGCCAGCCCAAAGGAGCCAGGAAGGTATGTAGCCCAGAGGAGGTCAAAGGAGAGAAGTGTGGAGGGGCTTCCCCTGGGAAAAGAGGGCCAGGCCACAGGCTCTCCCACCACCATCGAGGACCAGGCAGGGTGCGGCGTGGGGTGGTGCATGTTATTTATGGGTTTGTCACTGGAGCCTTCTCCCTCCAAGCTCCCCACCCCCCCAATCCCTGCAAATGGAACACAGAACTCTCTCTGGTTGGGGGGTTTAAGATGGAGGTGATTAGAGTCTTCCCCATCTGAAGATTCCCTACTCCATCAGCACCCTGGGTGCTGACCTCCTAATCTAAGGACTGATGGGAAACTCTAGGGAAAAGGCTGCCCTACCTCCTTCCATCTAGAAACTCCCAGACTTAAGAGATCTGACCAGACAAGAGATCTGGGACCAACTACTCACTGACGGACCAGTCTCTTCTGCTCTCTAGGCTCTCCAGGCCTCAGTTTCCCCAACTACCCGCTAAGGGGGGGGGCGTGGTTTGGACTCATATTCTGACACTAAAATTCTACTGCTGTATTGTTCACAAGATGATGTTCTAACCCAGGCCTCCTGGGTGCTTGGCACATTGGCTGCATGGCCCCCATGTATCAGTACCCCGCCCCTGCTCTGCTCAGGAAGTCTACCCCGCCCTGCACATCTGGATGGAATTTACCCCCCAAAGCAACTCAATTACCGGTGATCTGATCAGGACGGCTCATGTGTCAGAGGGGGCCCTGGTGAAGGTTGCTCTCCCAGAGATGAGGGTTCCTGGATGTATCGTCCACCCTTCTCACAGCCTGGGTATCCTCCTGGCACTGCTAGAGGGACAGGGCCTGGGGGGATTCAGTGTCCTGATGAACAGAGGGTTGGGGATCCAGAAGGGGTATCACCTCCTGCTCTGTCTCAGGCTCCCTATCCATTCAAGACCTGAATCAGCATATAAAGGCTAGAGGGTGAAGAAAGATGGTGTTTGAATTTTAGACCAGCTGGTCTGGCTAAGTGTCCAGCCATGGAATCTTTAAGGGTGGTAACCCTTATGGCTTCTCTTTACCTCCTGATCCCTAGCAGGGAGCCTGGATGGTAAAGGCTGGTGCTTACTTGCAAGGTTGCAGTAGTGAGGGTTGGGGGTAGAGTGCTGTGTCTTAGGAATCCCTCCTTGGGAAATTAAGGTGATCCCTGCCGTCTTCCTGTGGCTTCTACTAAGTTGGTAAGTGGGGGACAGTGGGCTTTGGAGTTTCCTATTTCTTCAAGTCTGCATTTAAAACCTCTTATGCTGAGCCCGTCACTAAAGAACTGTTTTCCTGTACGTTGAGCCTCCCTCCCCCTCACCATCCACATACACGGGAGGGTCACCCAGCCCAAGAGATCTGGGCTTCGGCGTGCTGTGCCTATCAATACTATAGTAACCTCTTGGGAGCCAGGGGCCACCAGATTGCCAAAAGGATTGGAAAACAGAGTGAGTCATGCTTATCGGCAGTGGAATCGCGACTCAGAGTGCCTACTGCCCGCCAGGTGACCCACCATGGTCATAGCTCCGCAGGAACTAGGCTGGGCTCGCCAGTCTGAGGAAATGGTGCACGCACGCACACACACCCACGCCTTGCCTCCTTCCATCACTGAATCTCACCGGAATCTCAATCCGGCAACAATTCCCTGATGCCAATTAAGAACAAAGCGCTGAGCTTAGCTCTGCTCTGAGGAGAATGAAAAGTCCGAGGCCAAATCTCACTCCCCCAAGGGCTCACCCTGTCGATGGGGATAGAAAACACTGACCTGTAAAGCCAGTTAAGAGCATGAGCTGGAGCTGGGCAGGCCACGCTTGAATACTAGCTCTGCCATGGACAGGTGGGGGGCTTCAGGCAGAGACTTTAGCCTCCCCACCAGCCTCAAAACGTTGTTCGGTTGTCAGGAACGAGCAGGCAATGCATGGAGCACACAGTGCCTGACACAGAGTAAAGTGCTCCATGAATGGCCGCTTCATTATTATCTTGTGAAATAATTAGCATTAAGACAATAACCTCTCACTTACCTGGAAACCTTCCTCCCTTGCAGAACCAGGCCTAGAACTCACATGAAGCTTCCCTTCTGAAAAGTCCTCTGAGCTGTCACCAAAGCTCGCAGGCCCTTCTCATCAGTAAACTGATGACAGAAGTGAGGGTAGTGCTAGTTTGGATCACTCGGGGGCAGGAAAGCTTCTTGAGGCCTGAGGATGCCAGGCTGACATGGGTGGAGGGTCTGGGCTGGGAAAGAGTGGGGAGGCTCAGGTGGGGACCAGGTTCCCAGGGGTCTTGAATGCACCTCTAACTCACTGGCTGCCTTGGGGCAATGGGGGAGCTGATGTGGGGTCACTGTGGGTGGGGGAGATGGCAAGCTACAAGGCCTTCTTCAGGAAGCTGACTCTGGGGGCTAATGCAGGTTATGGTGAGGGCCACCGGCTGGCAAGGAGGCCAGTCGGGACCCGTTGGAACCCAGACAAGATTTAATGCCAGGACCTATCCACAGCACGAAATTCCAGACGGGAAAATCACCACGTACTTGGCAAAGCACCCCCCCCCCCCGCCCTTCACATCCTTTATATCATGTGATCTTCATAATTCAGTGAAATGGTTATCTCCACTTTACAGCGGAGAAAAGCTGTGTCCTTAAAGAAGGGACCTCACTTAGCTGTTAGTGGCACAGTGAGGCCAAAACCCCAGGCCACCAGCTCCTGCATCAATTCTCCATTCCCATGGAGGGTTTGAGGGTGCTCTGCCTGCCGATTCTTTTTTTTTTTTTTTTAATTTTTTTTTCAACGTTTATTTATTTTGGGGACAGAGAGAGACAGAGCATGAACAGGGGAGGGGCAGAGAGAGAGGGAGACACAGAATCGGAAAGAGGCTCCAGGCTCTGAGCCATCAGCCCAGAGCCCGACGCGGGGCTCGAACTCCCGGACCGCGAGATCGTGACCTGGCTGAAGTCGGACGCTTAACCGACTGCGCCACCCAGGCGCCCCCTGCCGATTCTTATTAAATGCAGAGACATTCAAGAACAACATAGCACTGCACAGTCTTGGGGCCAGGGTGGGGTTCAGGCGATGAGTGAGCCCCTAGAGGGTTCTAAGCACTGACTCTGGAGTCAGGGAATCCTGGTTGGAGGCCCAGCCCCATTACTTACCACTAGTGTGGCCTGGAGAAGCATCCGAACCTCCCTGGGCCTCAGTTTCCCCTGAATGTGGAGCTGTCTGCCACAGGGGATGCTCTTTCTCTTCCACAAGCCCTGGGAGGGAGGAAACTTGTCTCATAGTAACTGTCAGAGCCCCCATGCCTGGCGCGGGCCTCAGAGCATCACATAAACTGTCAGTGTCATCATGATCCATCATCCACATTTATTCTGGGCACTTGCTATGTGTAGATTGCTCAGCTAAATGGATGGTGAGACCGTTGGTGAACTCTCACAGGAGTGGGGAGCAGAGGCCACCGCTGAGGGTGAATGAACATCAGTGGGGGTGCTGCAGCCCAGGAGGAAGGGGCCCTGAGTAGGGGGAGCTGGGGAAGAGCTCACCAGCAAAGCATGCCAACAAGCACAGGGTCTGAAGACCCGGTTCAATTTTCCACTCGGCTGTCATCTTGCCATGTGATTTCTGGCCAAGGCCTGGCCCCTGTTTTTCCTCCGGGAGAACAGATGGAGGGCACAAGGGACTGGGAGCCGAGCTGTCAGGGAGGGAGTCTCCCTCACCTGAGGCCTCCAGGCCTGTTGGGATCTGCCGGCCTGAAGGGGATTTCCTGGGGCCGGCCCAGTTCCCAGCCCTGCTGACGTCTGCTCTGGATGAGTGCCCAGAGTTGGGGGGGGGGGGGTTTGCCCAGAACAGCACTCCAGTGGGAAAGGCAGGCGGGCACTCTCCCAGCCCATACCTTGGCCCTCCCTCTGGGGCACTGGGGTCTCCCCACCCCCAGCCTGAGGTGGGGAAGCTGGGGATCCCTTCCATTGAAAGAAGAAGGCACTGCCCCTTGGCTCAAGATCCTGATTTGCTGTGTGACCTCAGGCAAGTCTCTGCCCCTTTCTGGGCCTCGGTGCCCCTTCTCTGAAACGAAAAGGACAAAGATTTCCAAGCTTTTTTGGAACTCTGACACACTGGGATCCTGCTGGGGGTTGGCGGGCGAGGGGCTAGGGGGTCCTGGGAAAGAGAACCAGGATGGAGACGGGATTCCAGGGCCTTGCTTCCCTACTCCGAAGTAGAAGGTAGAGAGGATGCGGGGAGGGTGACAGGAGGAAAGGAGCCCCACGGCCTCCAGGTGGCTGTAAGAGGGGCAAGGCGAGCTGGAGGTTTTGGAAACATATTTATTTTTAAGTGTCCGGTGTCACTGGGGGCTTTCTCTTTGGGTTTTGAAATGCTCCAGAAGCGAGCACTCTGCATGTGCGTGTTTGCAGAGTGGAATATGGGCTGTATTTATTCATCCTTTAGCCGGAGCCCTTAAAAATATAGACGGCTAATGTCTTCAGTATGTATGAAATATCCCATATGCTCGGAAACAAAAGGGGCTCTGTTATTAAAGTTTCATTTCCACACGCCCCCTCCCCTCCCTCCCGCCCGCCCCCCTGACACCCTGCCCTCCTTCCATCCAGCTCAGCCTCTGCTCCGAGACAGAGCAAGAGCGAGGAGGCAGGCTGGCAGTCGTGGCCGGAGGCCCCGGGCATAGCTGGTCCCTGAGCGAGTGGGTGCGGATTCTGGCTCCAGGTGAGGGGGAGACCTTGGGAGAGGAAAACAGGGTCTTCCTGGGGAGAGGGCCCTCTGGGGTCGCTGGTGTGGCCAGTGGAGGAGTGGGGGTCGAAGTGGTCCTTCTTGGGGGCGCCTGTGGGGCCGGGGCCCTGGCAGGGCCCGGCTGTCTGGGACGGAAATGCCCGTTCTGCTGCTAACTGAAACCACATGTGTCTCCCAGGCAGCGGGACAGAGACGCCGCCAGGCCTGGGGCTTGGGACTGGGGGGGAGGAAAGAGGCAGGCTGGCCCCGCTGTGTGCCCAGGGTGAGTGGGGGGTAGGAAGGGTTGGGGTCATTTGCATCTGCGCAAATGAGAGTGTGTCAAAAACCGCGCGTGAATGTCTGAGCTGTGTGTGTGTGCGCGTGTCGTGTGGATGAGTGTGTGCGCGTGAGTGTGTCTGCAGGTCGGTGGTGGCCCTGATCACAGGGCTAGATTGGCCTCCCCCTTGGCCTCCTGTGGCCAGAGGCCTGGGCAGACTTCTACCTATCTCCCTGAGCCTGGGAGCCTGCTGGCTGCCTCCCAGGAGGGTCTTCGGGGGGTGAGGAGACGCCCCAGCTGAGTTGGTGCCGGTCCTTCCATGCGGGGACACCCCCGTGGCCACCATTCTCCTTCGCTCCTTTCCCTCTAGCCCAGCTCAGCCTTCTTACACCCGCAAACCTGTACCTATTTCCCAGAGAGAAAGGCTGAGGCACGGAGCAAGGAGCTAACAGCCCCCTCTCCCATATCTGTCATCTTTTTTCAGAGTGCTCATGCCCAGGAGCATGGCATCTTCGCTGTAGCCATGGAAGATAAGGAAACCAATCCCAAGGAAAAGGCCAGCTTTCCCATACCATCAGGGAGGCGGCTTGGGGGCTGTCAGCTCCAGCAGGGGTCAGAGGATAACTGGGACAAGGGGGAGGCCTTGGAGAAAAGGCTGGAGCCTGCACTCCGATTCTCTGGTAAACAGGGGCACCTGGGGGTCTCAGTGACCTGAGTCCGGGGTCTTCTCTCCCTAAGGAGTGAGACTCTCTGGGAGCAGGGCTCTGGGATCTGGTGGCGGCCCTGCCACCAACTTGCTGTGGATGTCGGACAGGTCTCCTCCCTTCTCTGGGCCTCAGTTTTCCCCATCTCTACAATGGCAAGTTTGGGCCAGGGTAGTATTTCCCAAAGCGGTATGTGCCACCCTGGGATCTGGTGAGACGGGGCCACGTGGACTAGTAATCTTCATTTTGACGAGGCTTGTGTGTTATTTTCACCTACATTAGGGAAAAAATACATAAAGATACATTAGATGAAAGTTACAAACTGCTCAAATGAAGGAAGGCTGGGGACTGCCAGATGGTCCCTGGGGTCCCGTCCATTTTGGCCACAGGCTTTCTTGATGCTTTTACCATTTTAAATGCTCAGAAGAATGTTGGTTCCGGCTGTCTGGGACCCAGTGTGGTCTGCTTATAAACCATTTTTTGGCCCCCGCAAATGAGCAGTTCTGTAATTCTGTGATTACAGCAAAAAGTCCAGTTGTCACAGTGTGTGCTTGTGCGTGCGTGCATGCGTGTGTGTGTTTGAAGGGACTGGGGATGGAGTCGGCAGAGCTGAGAAAAAGATCAGCCTGTCCCAAGGTCAGGGCTGGGTGCCCAAGGTCAAAGGCAGGGAGTTTGGGAAAGAGATTGTTCCCTGAACTGACATTTTCAAGTGCTTTATCCGGCCTCAGCCTTGCTTTGAATCGCTGGGTTGGGTGGGTAGGCGAGGGGCCACCCTGGCTTCAGCCTTTCCTGCCATTCAGCCTTGGCTCCCTGGCTACTTGGCTGTGTTTAATGTGCCAAGCCAGGACCACCCCCTGGGAGGGGCGCACCGGGAGGATGCAGGGGTGGGGCTTCTGAGACTGTGTTGCTTGTCTCATCCTGCAACAGGCAGAGGGCACCACACATTGGCTCAAGGATGTGAGCAGCCTCCTTGTGTGGGAGGGTGGGGGGGGGGGGGCAAATTAAGACCCCTTCTTGGGGAGGCAGCAGGTGAAGAGGAAGGAGCCCAGGGTAAGCTCCTTGCCCCCCCAAGGCTTCAGTGTCCACACCAGGCTCTGGAGGCATTGTTCTTAGCGAGGCTGCAGTAATTATCTAGCTCTGTCCGCGGAGGGAGCAATATCCTTCTACCTCTAGAAGGTTCTTGTTCCTCTAGAGGCGTGCTTTCCAGGGTGTGGGGAGGACCTTGAGAGTTTTGGGCTTGGGCTTCTTGGAGCAGGGGTGGGCCACATGGAGTTAGCCACCGTCTTTGGGATCAGGTTCCCTTGCGGCCTAGACCAGCTGTTTCAAATCCTGGAGAAGCAGCTGGCCAGGGTCAGGGGCACAGTCCCTGCTTACAGAACTTATCACATTTCAATTGGCCTTCAGCGGCCTTGTGCGTCCTACGGAACTGCTAGAGGCTACACCCAAGGCCAAGGGCAAACAGAGGACTGCTTTATGCTGCACTGGCCAGCTTTCTGGGCATCGTCATAGAAAGGTCTGCCTGAGCAGACAGTGGGCGTTGGCATTGCTTAGTTGGGAGGAATGGGCTTTAAGGAGCAACCCCTTCCTAAAGAAACATTCCCATTTAGCAGATGGAACTTTTCATACGACCAGGGTCCACTTACGTATGTAACCCTTGTTGTGCTAAACGGTGGGTTCCAATGAAGGCAGAGGATTCGAGTTAAACCCAGCCACAGTGATGCCCTGGGCGCCCCCCTTCCTTAGATTTCACCTTGATTTCCCTTTCCTGGGTTTGCTAGAGGCAGAACGTGGAGGGGCAGCAAGGTCCTTTCCTGGTAGAGTCACACACAGGTCTACCGGTGATGATATCGACTTCAGGCAAAGGAAAGCTGGAGCTTGCTGTGGGGTTAGGAAAAAAGAGAAGGAAGAAAAGCGGTCAGGTGGACCTGTGCTTCGTTCTTGCTGCGGCTGTGGGACCTCACCGGGTTACTGCACCTCTCTCATCTCTACTTTCCTGGTCTGTAAAATGGGTTGTCATGAAGACGCCTGAGACGATGGGACAGAAGCCACGGCACACACTGCACCCAATAAGTGGAAGCTCAAAGGTGTCGGGCCTGGCAGTGACTCTGCTGACTTAAGAGCAGGGTGTCATCACCACTTCACGAGGGGGAGGACGAGACCGAGAGTGATTGCCCTGAGATGAGGGGAGAGTGCTAACTCTTTCCCAGCCTTGGGCTCCAGGCCCGGCCCTGCTCCTACTGGCCCTGTAACTTCAAGCTGGCCACTCAACTTTTCTGTCAGTTTCCTCATCTGTAAAACTGGGGCAGGGATCGCACCTACTTCGTGGGGCACCGGTGGGGGTCAAGTGAGCCAACCTGGCGTGTAGTAAGTGTTCAGTGGATACTCACCTGGCTGAATGGAACCCTGGAGGCCTGAGGCCTGGGCATGGCTGGCCTCAGGGTCCCTTGCCCCTCAAATGCTCCCAAATAGTCCTTCTGGTCCCTCGGTGGCGTCACAGTCCTTATAGGTAGTAAGGCCAGGTGGTCAGAAGCTTAGGGAGCCTCAGGAAGGCTCCTCTCTGGGGGCTGGTTTCAGATCTCCCCAAATCACCTCCTGGAGGAACCCTGGGCCCCAGTCCCGGGCAGTGGGTGGGTTGGTAACAGTGCTCTCCGTTGGCATTGCCAGCAGGAGAGTAGGGCGGCTTCCTACAGGAGGGAACCGGGAAACTGAGGCTCAGACAGGAAAGGGGCCTGTGTGGGGCTGTGGCAGGGAAGCAGGGTCTAGAAAACCTCCTGCGGAGGGGGAGGGGAGGGCCCAGTACCTACCCTGCCAGGGCCTCCCTCCGGCTCTGCTCACTGGAAGCAGGAACCAGTTAAAGGGGAACCGGAAAGGAGAGAAAGAAAGCAAACAGAGTCAGAGAAAAGCCTGGAGCTTGAAGCACTGGGGTTGTTTGGTCTGGCGGAGCCACCTCCTAGGCCACTCCCAGCAGCACTGCACAGACTCCAGCAGCCGCCCCACACGCGTGCGCACCCACACACACACACAGACACACGCAGATACAGACACACATGCACAGATACACACACAGATAGATATGCACACACACACACACACACACACACACACACACACACAGCTCGGGCTGGAGGGCAGGTGCTGAGCTGGAGGGTTTCTAGAACCCCTGGCTCAGCCCTTCACTGCAACCACAATAACACTTACCGGGTACTTACTGTTGAGCTCGAAGCCCTTTACTTACATGAACTGGTTTAATCCACACAGCAGCCGGATGAGGTGGGCGCCGTAATTAGCCCTGGTTTGCATATGGGAAACCAGTCTCAGAGAGGCAAAGGAACTCAGCCAACGTCACGCAGTTTGTGCACCGCTGCCCCCTCCCCCTGCCCCCGCCAAAGCAGGTCCCCGGAGCACAGGGCCCATCGGCCAAGCGCTGCCCCACGCTGTCGCCGGGGGCGGGGGGGGGGGGAGGGGGGGCACTGGGCTGTGGCTCTGCTCCAGGCACCGCGTTCAGCACTTTCACCCCCACCGTGCCTGCCGTGTGAAGCAGCACCCCGAGGCTGCCCTTTCCTCCGGCCCAGGGAAGGCAAGCGTCCTGCCCTTGGCGACAGAGCACAGAGGCAGCAGGGCTGGGATGCCTCCATGTGTGCGAGCCAAGGCGTCAGCGGAGAGGAGAGGCGGGGGTCGGAGACGGACAAAGAATCGCAACCGCAGCGTTAGCAGCGTTAGACTCGGCACCCCCAGCCCTCCTCCTTCAGCACCTTCTGCCCAAGCTCCCCTTCCCCCACCCGCCCCAACCCCCAAGACCGGACCTCCATCCTCCCTCTAGCCCTGGGATTCCAGTGCCCCACACCTCATGCTTGTTCAGCCCGCCAGCCCTTGCCTCAGTGTGTTCTGAGTTTCCTTAATGATAGCTTTGGATAACTGTTGACAAAACACGTTTCCCGTCCATTATTTGATTTCATCCTGTATGTGCGTGTATGTGCCGGACGGGGTGGGGGGAGGCGTCGGTGGTGACTATGATTTTCTTGTATCTTGACTTCACCCCTCCCTGAGAATCCTTTCCACAGAGGGTCAAACTAACCGAAATACACATCCGAGTCCTCCCCTGGGCTCGAAATGCCCACAGCACAGGTACAGGATGCGGGAGATGTGGTATGAAAGTGGAAGAGGTCTCTGGGATCCCTGGGGACAGTACGACCCAGCAGAGATACCGCTGTTGAAAGAGGGCGAAAGGGCCAGTTTGATGCTAGGCTGCACTGATCATGATAGAGTATCCGAAGTGGAGGTGGTGATGGGCTTGCCATAGTTTGTGCTGCTTTGGTTTTCCTGGAATATTGGGGTCCGTTCCCTTCGGAGAGTCTGACAGACCGGACTGACAGTAGAGGAGGGTGCACAGGATGGGGCGGGGGCGGGGGGGGGTCAGAAAATTCTGTCCCGTGTGGAATAGTGTGAAGGGACTGATTTAGCTTGAGGGAAGGGATAGAAAACAGGGCTGAACTTGTTCTGTCATACTCAAGACGATGGGGCTGAGATCCGTGGGGCGGGGTGGAGGGGCTACTAGAAGGAAGATGTCACCTCTATAGAAAAGGGGTGCTCAAGACAGACTGAATGAGCTGTCCCTGGGGAAAGGGAGGCCCCCGATACCAGAAGTGAACAAGCTGAGGCTCAGGGCCCTGAGGGAAAGGCAATTCAAGAATCAGATGGGGGCTTTAGCTCTCTCCCAGTCCCACTATTCGGCCAATGCGTACCAGTGTCTCCTGCCTTTGGCTCCTTCCACAGGTGGGCTGAAGTTGAGGGGTCCCCAGGGAGGCCTGGGCACACTCCCTCAGCCAGGTCTCTCCATGCTTCACGGCCTCAACCCCTCCCCCACCCCCTGCCCTCCAGGATCAAGACACAGAATCTTTCTCTTTTTTTAATGTTTATTTATGTTTGAAAGAGAGAGAGAGAAATTGAGTGGGAGAGGGGCAGAGAGAGAGGGAGACAGAGAATCCCAAGCAGGCTCTGCGCTGTCAGCTCAGAGCCTGGTGCGGGGCTCGATCTCACGAGTTGTGAGATCATGCCCTGAGCCAAAATGAAGAGTCAGGCCTTTAACGGAATGAGCCACCCAGGCGCCCCCAAGACACAGAATCTTAGAAAGATAGATCCACAGACTTACCAGAGTTGAAGGAACTCTTGGCAAGTGTTTTGTTCAACCTCTTCACTTTACAGAGGGGTAAACTGAGGCAAGAGAGGAGAAACAGCTTGCCTGAAGTCAGTGGCTCACAGGAGATGGCAGGTCATAACTTTAGCTTGAACCCAGGTCTCCAACCCTAGGTGCCCACCTCCCTGTACCGCCAGGCCGCTGATGAACTGACAATCTGATTCCCCACCCCCGTCAGAGAAAGTTTCCAAGTGGAACCAGTCCACCCCTTTCCCACACCCTATCGTGTCTCTCATTTGAGATCTGTGCTACGTGCATTTAGTGAGCACCTACTAGGTGCCAGGCATTACAATAGGTCCTAGGGATGATAGCTCCTGCACTAGAGCAGGGAGCGTGCCTCATCCCTCTATCCCTTACAGAGTGCTTTCCATGATCTGCAATTACCTGGCTTATTTATTCAACTACTACTTTGTCGTGTGTCCTACCATGCCCTGCCCTCAGCATTTCCAAGTCCAGGAGACTTGTCCCCACTGTACTCCCAGCTCCCAGAGCAGCCCTGGCTCACAGCACATGTTTAAAAACTGCTTGCTGAATGAGTGATTGAATGAATGGCAGCGAGCAAAGCTGACACCGTGCCAGTGCTTGTGGGACCAGAACGATGACCAACACTTCCTGGACTTGTCCCTGTGCCTGGTATGGTGCTAAGTGCTTCTCCCATATGATTTCATGTAATCTTCACAAGTCCTAGGAGGTGGTTCTGTCATTGGCTCCATTTTACAGATGGAAAATTGAGGCTTAAAGAGGCTAGGTAACTGCTCACAGCCTTTGTCCCCTCCTACCTTGTGTTATAAATATCCAAACCACTGCCTCATGTCCTCTTGCCCATGCTGGACTGCTTGAAGGCAGGAGCCCCATCTGCTTACCTTGGTTTCCCCCCCCCACCCCTCAGTGTCCGGCTGGCCCCTGGTGGCACCTTTAAATGCTCATTATATTCCGTTGGGTTGAATGAAAATTCAGTTGTGTTGAATGAAAAGGATATGGTGGAGAAGAGATGAATGGAAAACACTAAGCAAGGGACAGACAGCAGCACAGAGCAGTGTCAGCACTGGAAGCCATCTTCAAAGACCACTTCATCCAATGCCTCCCTGACCCACATTCAATTTCCTGACTACCTCTAGAGCAGCCTGCCAAGGAGTCTTCCAGGCTCTGTTTGTTCACTGCCAGTGACAGGGAGCTCAGCCCCTACGGTGGCATGAGATAATCCAAGGAAATCATTTAGCTGTGTGCCACATGGTCCCCTGATAGCTGATTTTTCATGGGCGCTTTCTCTGTACCAAGACACTGAATCCACACCAAAGCGTAAGAGGTAGGTACTATTGGGGCGCCTGGGTGGCTCAGTCAGTTAAGAGTCCGACTCTTGGTTTTGGCTCAGGTCATGATCTCATGGTGTGTGAGTTTGAGCCCAGCGTCGGGCTCGACAGCACAGAGCCTGCTTGGGACTCCCTCTCTATCCCTCTCTCTGCGCCTCCCCCACTCACTCTCTCTGTCTCTCTCTCAAAAATAAATAAATAAAACTTAAAAAAAATTTGAAAAAAAAAAAGAGGTAGGTACTATTATTACTCTAATTTGACAGATGAGGAAACCAAGGCACAGAGTTATAGAACTTGCCTAAGGTCTCACAGCTGGTAAGTGGCAGAATACAGAATAGAATGTGAAGCCCAGGACTGTGGCTCTAGGCAGTATGCCCTCCTGACCTCTATGCCAGCCCCGTTTATTGAAATAACACAAGTACATATGTCATTTCAAATTGTCTAGCAGCCACCCTAAACAAGTAAAAAGAAGCAGGTGGGGGGGGGGGAAACCTCGTGGAATTTATTTTAATAACACATTTATTTAAAACCAAGATAGCATCGTCCTAACATGTAATAAATCTTTAAAAAGTTACCAGTGAGACATTTTACATTCTTCTTCGGGGACGAAAGTTTTGAAATCAGACGCTATCCTTTATTCACAGTACATCTCAATCTGAACTTGCCACATCTCGAGTGCAAGTAATACACGCGGCTAGCGTCCCCTGGATCAGACTGTCTGTCAAGGTGCCTATGTGGTACCTCCTAGTGCATAGGAAGAATCCAATACATATTGGCCACTACTATGATTATTTTTGCCACTGATTTTCGTTGGTGGTGGTCCATGGAAAAGCTGGGCTGAGGCCCCAAGCCTTTGGCATCGGCTCTTATAGCTCTATTCTTAATCTGAGTCTTTCAAGCCAGCAGCTTGCTGTCTCCCAGGCTAAGCCAAGCTTCGTGGATCCTTGGCCTGTGGGTTGAGAAAAGCCAGCCTAACTGTCTCTAGGAAGGGCGGGAGAGGCCCGGCTGGGGCCTGCCTATCTCCTGGCTGGCCAGCTAAGTACCAAATGAAGTGAGGCCCCCTTGGGGTTTATAAGCTTGTGCCCATCTGCTGTGGAGCGTGTGGGGGGTCCAAGAGCACATCTGGAAGGGAGAGGGCAAGACCCTCCTTCCATGGTCCCTGGAAACAGCATCTCCTGCACACTTTAGGCAGACTGGGCCTTTAAATAGAACAAACAAACAAACACCCCCATCACTGCCCCCTTCTCTCTCTTGGTTCCTGGATAGCTGCTAAGTACATACAAAGAGGCAGGCAATGTGAGCCAGTGGTTCCCAGCCCTGAAGCTTCAAAATAGTACACTGGTGCCTACCTCCATAGGTTGTAATTGAACTGGCCTGGGGTATGGCTGGGCCTTTGGCGTGTGTAAAAAATCCTCGGGGGTTCTACTGCGCAGACAAGTTTGGAAACCGCTGTGCTAACCCTTAGGGGTACAAGCTCATTTAGCCTTCACGGTAGGTATGATGCAGGTGTGGTTATGGCTCCCACTTTACAGATGGAAAAATGGAGGCTCGCAGTGGTAAGATAACCGGCCCCCCAAGTTCAGCCAGCCAGGAAACAGGCACAGTAGGGATTCACCAGCTATGGTCGTAACCAGTAGTGTGCTGCTAAATGTTTAACAACTGGCTCTCTGGGGTGGGGGTGGGGGGTAGTGGGGGGGGGCGATGGCGGAGGGGAGGGGAGCCTGATTTGT